CATTGCTCTCGAAAAGAGAAATCTGAGTGCTAGAGATTTGAACACCCGTTCATTTTCACTACCTGGAATTTGTCTTTATCTGCCAGAGAAAGACAACTTTCTGTAAAAATTTAGTTCCTTGGCTATTTGTGTACAAATCAGCCACCAAGCACTGCATTACTGACAGATCCAGTTGAAGAGTGCATTTGATTACACTCAGTTCTAAGTTATGGTTAATTGGGTTTTACTGGGCTGCAGAAGAAAACCACTCTGAATATCATATTAGGTGATGTTTCTTGATAAGAATCACTTAATACAGGCCAAATATGTATTCCAATGTGCAAAATTCAAAATATATTTTTGGCAATCCAAACATATGTAGAATGATGCTTTATAATTGTATGAATAGTAGATTTGTTACAGGATTTCATGCTTTTTGTACTAACATGCAAACCAGCAACAGCACAGTTTTTAGTAATCATGAATGGCTGGAAAAATTCCCCAAATTACTTATAATTTTAAAATCTGTTTAGAACTATGAGTTACAATATGCAGTATGGGTATTACTGGTTTAATAAACCATTTTGAAAGGGGATTCTGGCTGCCAGAATCCCGGATGTGTAATGTTTACGGTTAATTCCCTGTATCCTGAAATAAGACAGAATAGAAAACTGTGCAAAAAAGTAGTTTATGTGTCAGTAGATGAAAGAAACGAATTTCCAAACAAAGGGAAAAAGAAGAGAAAAAAAATAACCAGAGCATGAAAATACCTATATTTAAAAAGTAACAACAGCAAACAACCCCATTTTTAGTGAACTAAATAAAGACCCTACTGGAAATACACAAGAAGATGAACTAGAAAAAGAACTCTTACAGAGATTATGCAAAAAGTTACATATATAAGAAAACTCTCTCTCAAACAGCCAGATGGCTTTCTGTATTAAAACTATTACATCATTGAAAAAATTCTAGCTAAATGTATAATTATATTCTACAATACAATGTTCCTGCTAAAATTAAGAAGATTAAAGAAAAAAAAAAGAAATGCCTGATATGTATGGGTCCTACTACAGGTTTGCAGCACTAATTATATAAAGCAAGTAGCCTCAGAAAATCAGTTTTTGAATTCACAGTTAATATAATTAGGTAATGACCAAGCACAACTATGACATGACTATGACAGCAATTCTTAACATGAAATTCTACTAAACGCTTTCTCACACATGGCTATAAATGCAAATTAGACTTCCTAAATTCCAGGTAGACTCTTTCATTTTAGCACATTCACTTTTGCTATGTGCTAGCAAACAGAAATAGGTGTTAGTTTTAATTCTCAAATTAATAAATGTATTAAGTTCACAGGTATATCTCCTACCAAATCTGGAGCTTGATCAAGACAAGTAGCTTGCACGAGATAATCACCACACAGGAAAACTTTGGCTTAGTATGCACAATATAACTTGATTTTCTAAAACCAGATCAAGTTGAATATATGCAAATTTGTACATTCATTTTACTTTCAGGAAGCATTTGGAACATCCATTGCAAGTAAGGATAATTAACTAAATTCTGAAGGCATTTTATCCCTACACTTGATCACATAATGAAATCTGTTGTAATTACAATCAATTCTATATGGGGAACTCAAAGATTATGAACTCCATCAATATGATCATCAATAGCAGACAGAAGTATCATAATGTTTGTACTTATAAGAAAATTTGTCCTATTTTGAGAGTATATCATTAAGTCAAATTTACTAACCCTTCAATCTATGAACTGTGATTTTCCATACAATCAATTGCAGTTTCATCTTTGACAGCACTGTAATATTCAAATTGTTTGTTAAATATCGTGAGTAAGTATGGTGATGAACAAAAACAGAGGTACTGTATGTCCTAATACTTAGAAGAGCTTGTAATAGGATAATGGAAGCATTGCAATTGCTGACTTTCTGAGATAAAGAGACAAGACCTGGTTTCTCTATCTGATTTTTCCACTCCCTAAGACTTGAAATGAGGAGAACAATATTCCTATGATCTGGTTTCAGCAAATTTACTAAATGTGCCCATAAAACCATTTTAATTTACTAAATGTTAGAAGTTATCAGATTTTTGCTGCAAAAACTCATAGTTTGCTATTTTACATTCCTTTGATATAAGAAGTTAGTCCTAGAATTATCTATGATAATTAATAAAAGCAATTTTAAATTTGTGTTTTATATTTATCCTATTGGATAATGAGCGATCAGGTTTAAGTCTTATTATGCATATCTACTTTGGAGAAAAATATTCAAAGCCATTACCACTGAAAGATTCTTGTAAATAAACTTATTTTTCCTTTTAAGGATTAATTAAAATGGATTCTTTCTGAATGGGAATGAAAAAAAATCACAAACTCAGTTTTAAAACACAGAGTTATTCATGACAGTTCTGCAATTTGATTCATGCAAATCTGTCAGGGATAAAAATCAACCACAATTTAATTTCAAACCTTTCCCAACCAGCTGCTAAACAATTTATGCACTACTTTTCTATTTTTACTGCAGGATAATGACAATGATGAATGCTTTTCCTTGGAAATAAATATTCATTACGCAGGCTCAGATCAAAACTATACCCTTCCAAAAACCTATGAACGTGCAAGATCCATTTGCCTCTTCCAAGAGATTTATTTGGGAAGAAGATGGAACTGTGCCTACAAATGCATCTCATAACAATTTAATAGTTCAGTTAAATTAAACCTATGGCAATACTTACTTGTAACCTCGGTAATCAATATTCTTAAAGTTGGTGTCAACTCCAATAATACCAAATATATGTGGGTGAACAACAGATTAGTTACGGATATAAATCAGATAGATAGCCCAAATGTGAAGCATTAAGAAGCACTAAAAGGAAGTCAACTGCCAGTAAACTGCTTGAGGTAGGTCACTGTTTTTCCATCCAATCTAGTAATGAACATAAGTTCATAGACTAAGTGGTAGCTCATTAGCCATGATTTACATGGTCTATGATTTTTTTTTGTGCAGAAGAATCATTCTATCAAAAAGGCTTGTTTAAAATGAAGACTGACAATAACATCGGCATGTTGTGTGCTTCTATACTCAAAACCACTTTAATCTACTGGTACTAAATCAGAAGTGGTAAAAGGAACAGCGTACTGTTATTTCACACGGTCCTATTATCAGTTATATGCTTCCTTTGCTCCAATACTTCACTGTTATGCTTCACTAGACATACTATAGTGCCTTGCTAGGAAACTGAAAACACTCTAATTTTCAAGAGCTAATAAAGAATATCTATATCTGTATGTGTGTGTATATACAGATGCCTAAAATGTATAAGACCTATGCATGTACAAGAATTATAAATAGATGTGATTTTATAGAAGCTAATAACAGCACATGGATGTTGTTTTGTTACATTTCCTCTGTTGTGGCAAGAGATAAATGGGCTCCTACAGAGGACAATTCAGAGCACCTAGCCAGAGCCCCTGCCCTGATTGTCCCTCTAAGCTTCTTTCTTATAGCTGACTGCAGCCAAATTCCAGCCTCTGTAGGGTAATGTTTCCTTTTGTTAAAACCTTTCCTTCCCCAAAATAATCACAGAAAAATGGAAATGTGGTCTTCTCTTCATGCTGGATGACAATTTGAAATACTGTAATTACATACAATACTTAAGCATGATTTTTTTACAAGGCTTTCCTCACACAAACATTATTCTGCAAAAGCTGATAACTCATTCATCTATTTAGGCTTACAACTTTAATCTTATTCTCTTATGTCAATTCTGTGTTGGAAAAATTCCACCAATGTCAAAGGCTTTCACTGTTGCAAGCGATGATAAATCCAGACAGTAATATTTAAAGTCATATCAACAATACTGAATTAGCTTTTTCTTAACTACATTATCTACCTACTGGACAATATTTTCTGTTTAGTTAACTAAAGTGTAGTAATTGCACAGTGTACAGCCCCAATCAGACTTCAAGCTTTTTTCATAGAATCATAGACTGTCACGAGTTGGAAGGCACCCACAAGCATCATCGAGTCCAGCTCCTGGCTCTGCATACGACAACCCCAAAATCCACACCATATGTCTGAGGGTGTTGTCCAAATGCTTCTTAAATGTTGTCAGGCTTGGCGCTGTGACTGCCTCCCTGGGGAGCCTGTTCCAGTGCTCCACCACCCTCCAGGTGAAGAACCTTTTCCTCATATCCAACCTAAACCTCCCCTGGCATATCTTCCCGCCATTCACTCAGATTCTATCATTAGTCACCAGGGAGAAGAGATCAGTGCCTGCCCCTCCTCTTCCCCTTGTGAGGAAGCTGTAGACTGCGATGAGGTGTCGCCTCAGTCTCCTCTTCTCCAGGCTGAACAGACCAAGTGACTTCAGCTTCTCCTCATACAGCTTCCCCTCTAAACCCTTCACCATCTTCGTAGCTCTCCTCTGGACACTCTCTAGTAGTTTCGTGTCCTTTTTGTACTGTGGGGCCCAAAACTGCACACAGTACTCACACAGTACTGCACACAGTACTTTTTGGTCTAGCATGGAATGGAACAGCTAAATTTTACTTGGCTTTGTTTCTGTTTTAATAAAAAATATTTTAAAATCAAACACTAAAATAAATCTGCCAAGATTGGGTGTGGATAGGGTTACTTACTAATTACTTCAAATTACAAACACACAAACAAAACTTTAACCACAAATTCACAACTTTAAATCTGTAACTGCCCCGCTCCATCCTTTCTCTCCCATTCAAGGATGTACTTTGCAGACACCCTAATGCTCTTGTCTTCCAAATACGGGTGGAAACAGATAAAAATAAATGAACCCTTCAGTGGTTTTGTATTTTGCACCAATGAGCCTTCACATATAAACAGCCATATATGCACACATCACGGAGAGGGGCTGAGCACTTATAAAACAGATGTCTCTGAGAGTGAGCGCAGGCCGCCAATATACAGAAGCCCAAAAATAACAGAAACTTATCGTTGTAAGAAAAGCTTGCTTTCTTACCTTGAGACACTCTTCTTGTTTGAAGAGATCCTCAAAATCCTTAGCCTGCAGAACAGGAGAATTAAGGCGCTCTTCTACTTCAGACAAGGCTTGCAGAAGGTGAAGGATCTCTGCCAGGTATGTAGAAGGCACATGAGTGGTTTCCACAGTCATAGTTTCAGTCACCAGAAAAGTTGTATCTTCATGAACTGTTTGCTAGTACAGATATACAACAGAATGCTTCCTTTAGTTTCTTAAGACTACACAAACTTAAAACTTAATGCAATTTCCAGTTCACAACCTAGAAACAATTCAAAGTACTTTCTAAGGACAAATGCAGGAAATATTTGAGGTTTCTGACATAGATCACTCACACTCCATTAGTCTGTTTGAAACGGCAGGTACTAAAATTAATCCATGCAAAAGCGTACAAACTTTTCGCCTCCTACGTTCCAAAGAAATGAAGATAGGAAATGCAAGAGTACTCTGAGATTACAGTGTTACTGAGATTTTAGTGCTAGCCCTTTCATTTTAAATCATCACACCTACTTAAGAACCTGTCCTTCATTATAGACATTCCATGCATGCTAGGCCTAAAATACTAAATAATTTCAAGGTGTCAAGTAAAATAATGACTTGTGCAATAGACACAATTTCTTAAATAACATGCAACACAAAACAACTAGGTCAACTCAGCACTTTCAACACTATACTAAAACCTTTCTCTTTAAACTAGAAAGTACAATCGGGAATTTCATGATTTGAAAGGTCTTTAATGCATTCATTTTTCTAAAAGAAATCCCAGCAATGCACCTCTTCAGAAAATGAAGATTTTTTTTTTTTTTTTTTAATCTGGACAAATAGGAAATAGACACCCTATTCTGAAAGCACATGCATACACCAAGTGTAAAGAAATCCCAGAATGTTTTGGTTCCAAGAAAATAGACAGATGGTCTATGGCATTTGGAAATATACTGACATATAAGGTGACAAAATAGTGACTGTTTATATAAATTCTCTACATTTCTGATTTGATGTGTTTATGTATCATAGATAAAAAATAATACCAAAAGTGTTCTTTGGAGCAGGGAGAACTGTAATTGATTCTTTTAACTAAACTCCAAATATATGATCACCTGCATCTCCATTAGAAAAGGCAAAAATTAAAAGATATAAATTGTGATTTCATAAGCATAAGTTATTATTTATTTGTTTTGTCACAGCACGGAGGATTTCTAGTGTGGGACCAAGATCCATTGTGCTTGATGTCTGTCTTCCCAAAAATATAAACTTTATTTATTGAGGACCTCAAAGAAATTTTACAAGCAATTGCTGGTAAACTTTCTTTCAAAAAATCGTATTATTTAGATGCCCCAGTCCTAATACAGATAATGAATTTTGGAGCCATATGTGTGAAAGACAATGGATCAATGGCCCTGAAGAAAATAATATCATTAGTTAGCTACACAGTGTGTAAAAGAAAACAAATGTAAATATTATCTTGCACATACTACCTCAGCAAGGTGTCTCATTTTAATTTATCTATTTGCCCTGTCCATCCTTTCATGACATGTTTCTCTCCTCAGTTACCAGGCTGAGTCATCTGGTTCTTCAATTTTCTGTAGAGTCTTAAAATATGCATACATGCACTCTAGAAGATGTATGTGTACCACATGTAAAGCCCATAAAGTTAACTGTAGACTTGTGTTATTCTGGTGTATTTCTTATGTAGATTTAATTGCTTTGCTTACACTTTTCTCACTAAATGACTTTCTCAGTACATCTGCTAACACTGAAACCTCTCTAATTACCATATCACTGCTATCATTTTTATTATTTAAAATAAATGGCTTAAAAAAAAATGTGTTTGCTCCCCATATGTTTCATGAATCATACGCTTTGCAAAAATAACAGTTTACCCCAGTAAACCTAAAGAATAAGCTGTCCTAGTTGACTAGAAAATGGGAGATTCTCAAAAGGCCACTGAGGCATGCAGCAATATATTTTCATTCCTCAGGACTACACTGTGACACTTCTACATGCAGCAAAGAACTTTAGACGCACATGAGGGACATTTTAACTATAACTGTATTTTTCTTTTTGAATGAGAAGACAGAATATTTATATTCACAGTAATGAAAAGAGCATGCTAGATGTGCAAGGTTATTCACTCAAAATGAGGTCACATGAATATGTGAAATGACACACAAAATATAATTAGCTTCTAAAGTTTTATTAGTTTAATCTATTATTTTCAACCCAAATTTACGCTAATAACTATGTATACATGTACACATACATGTACATACATGCATGTATACATGTGTACATAAAATAAAATCTGTGCCTTCTTGATCTAAATAATTCCTGAAACCAGAAAAAAGTCAAGCAGAAATCTGACGTGCGAGCACTTCATGGATATCATGCTTATTTATAGTAGTGCCAAAATTGGGTATCTTTCAAACACTGCTACAAAGAATTCATATAAAAGCACTCTTCAAGGCAAAATTAATTAAAACCTGAAGACAGGACTGAACCTTGTATGACACACATGGTTTAGTAATCCCTCAAAATATGTGTAACATGTAACTAGCATCAATGTTAATGAGATGTATGAAACCATATATTCATACTGCCGTTTACAGAAAACTTTACATTCATATTTCTCACAGCTGGACAATTACTCGTATAGTTCTACAGGAAACATGACTCAGGAGATTTCTAGTTCAAGCAAACCATTAATGTTTATATTATTGGTTAAATTGTAAAGTACTAAAAACAGATAAATAAATAAATGGATTGATATTTGAAAGAAGAGGCCTACCAGAACCTGCCCTCATATTTGGCAACATTATTTAATACCTTATTCTAAAAAAAAGAGTAACAATCCAAATTAATTAGTTTCTGAATACTATTTAAATAAAAGACTTGGAAATCTGATACTTTAGAAATAAAGGATTAAATTTCTTTGCCTTTAGTGGCTTTTTCAATAGGTCACAGGTGTGTGTTTCCTTCTGTCCTTCCCTCACTGAAAGTAGCATAACAGAACCCAAGGCAGAAGTTGGCATCTTGCACTAAGGAACAGAAGATAGACATATCCAGAACTGACAATTTTAATCAGCAAAGAAAGGGAAAAATTTTTGGCTTGTCCCTGTGTTCACTGAAATTGCCATACAGTAGAAGATACAATGGGCAGAGTCCTTCCCTATATTATGGACAGGCACCTTTACTCAAAATGCATAGCTGAAACTGAATCATATACTAACACTGTAATGAGAAAAAAGGAGATTGTAGCAGCTGGGAACTGCTATTATTAAAAATAATATTCATTCAATAAAAATATATGTCATTGCTAATGCCAAAATGGTTCATCGGAAGCAGGGTAGGTTAACATTTTGTAAGGATTAAAAACAAATAAGGAAATGGAAATTATAGTTTTAGACAATCATTTAAGAATGTTTTTGAATATGTTGAATCTGACAAAGTGGCAGAATACATTAGACAGTTACTTGAAAATACTCAAATCCAAATAATATTTTAAAATAGTACATAACAAATAAACTGTTAAGAATGATGGGGAAATGCTGGTAAAAATGGCCATTTCCTATATTGTTATTTCTGCAAAATACATTTTTATTGATATTAATTTATTTTGTATTTTTACTTGATTGTCAGCAATATACTGATATGCAAATTATTTCTAGTCTCTGAAAAAATAACTTCGTTTGGGTAAGGCTTAACATTTCATGCATTCCTTTTCACCAAGTGTTATCATCACTAGAACAGTAAATTGAATTTTCTTCCCCATCGTTACATATTTTTAATTAAGGGAAAGGATCTTTACATAAACATGACTACCTGCATGTGACAAATTGATTTTATTAATAGTTAAGTCCTAGCAGGTGCAACACAAAGACAAGAAATACATCCATAAACTGGCCTTTACAGAGGAGACCAATAAGCAAAAAACCAAACAAAACCAACCAAACAAAAAAAAAAACAACAAAAAAAAAGAACCACAGGAATAATGCAGGTTTTGCCTACAAAATCAAACATGCCCTCAAAGAAATATCTGTGATTATTATTGCCTACATCTAGAACAGTATTACCTGGTGGTGCCAGAGCTAACTGGCCTTCAAGAATGCTGTTAATTTCCTTTTAGCAGTGGAAAACTCAGTGTTAAAACACATTTCACCCATCTCAGTATATCCATTTCCTTTCCTCTTTCTGCAGAGGGAACAATCCCAACATCATTTTTACTGTTCAACAGTTTACACCCAGAAAGCCTCCAACCTTTTTGTGTTAGGCCTTGTTCCATTTTTGGTCCCTTTCTCACTGTAGGTCTCCAATCTCACCGTGCCCTTAGTGCACTGTGCTTTTGAGTTATAACTTCACACAAACAGAATACATGGGAGGAGTAAAGCGGCAAAACACACCCTGACACTGCTCCTAGCAGCATCCTGATGAGGCATTCAGGAAAAACAAACAAACATGTGCCTCCTCCTGAAGTGTACTAATGCTTGAGAAAGTATTCTTTACAAGCAGCTGTAAGATATATGAGAGTGTAAAAAGTCAGTCATCATGGAGGAATAAATGTAGGTGTGCTGATACATAAAAAAGAAGTGGCTAGCAGACACCTTCTGGACAAAGGCAGACATGCCTCAAAGAGGCCAATAAACTTTGGGACAGTTTATTGCTTTCTAGAGCAAACTCTAAACTACAGGATATTTGCTAGCCCATGGTTAGCACCAATATATCAAATAAAGAATTAAAAACACAAAAGTATGATCAAATGCTGTCAGAGATCAATAAAACTACTTTCAAGTACATATTTATATGTAAAGAAGTTTTTATTCACCCCTTCCTATGCCAACTGAGTGATGATGTCAGCTAACATTCAGAAAAATAAATTCTATGTCTACAGTATTGCTAGCATATCTTACCTGTAAGTGTGTATATATGTAGAAAGTAGATAAAAATGATACCAATAACATGCAATTTTCAGTATGAGATTGGATGACCTTAGTCAATCACAAAAAAGTTATCTATCAGTACAAAAAGAAGCATCTCTTTCAAGTACAGAGAGACCTAAATCCTCGCTACAGGATTAAAATTTTATAAAATGCTTATGTAATTCCATGAAGGAAAGGCCTTAAAAGGCACTTGGCAGCATTAAAATCTATTTAAAATAATATTTTCAAGTAAGAATGTAAATA